CCTTTAATCCAAAGATGTGTAGGTTAGGCAGATTGGCCATGCTAAATTTCTCAGTGTCCAGGGATATGCAGGCTAGGTGGGTTAGCCATGGGAAATGTGGGGTTACAGGGATAGGGCAGGGGTGTGGGTCTGAGTGGGATGATCTTTGGTGGATCGGTGTGGACTCAATGGGCCAAATGGCCTGCTTCCACACTGTAGGGGTTCAACAATTCAGAACTAGAATAAAGATAAATCTTCTAAGACATTTAAATCAGTCAGGGGAAAGAACGGGAGTAGCAGAATGGATGGCTTTAATCTTTATGAAAAGAAATCCCTGAGGTACTTGCTTTTGTTGTTGGAGTTTTGGGTGGAGTGAACAAAGATTTAAGGTGATGGTTTGTAGTGAAGAAGAGACTGGGGTTCTGTTTGCACTCTAGGATTATCCTGGAATATCCTGTCAGCTATTTCCCTATTGCACGTTTGGCAGTAGTGCAAAAGATACATGACACAAATAGGTTGAAGCCCATTGCTCCTACAGCAACATAGATCTAACTTTTCATGGGTGAATTGCATCCATGTTCCCTGGCTCTGCTGTTGACAATAAATGATTCTGAGTGGAAATGAATATGGGGAGACAATTGACAAGATACGGATTTATCCACAATTGTTTTTCTTTTACTCAGCTATAGTCTAAGAATGTGGAATGAACTAGACAATTACGGTCCCCAAAAGTATAAGTCATTCTGGTTATTATAAATATTGAAATAGTTAAAATTTCAAACTTTATTAGTTCTTTGGTCAGAAATTACTCCAATTCAAATGTTTTATACATGCAGGATAGAAGAATGAGATTGGAGTAAAACGTAGACAGCAATCTTTATGCTATTCTTGCTGCTCTGGATCCATCTGCAAAGTGAACATAACAGTGTCCATTGCATTGGGAATTTTAAGATTCCTGGTTATGGCTCATAAATATACCATAAACCAAATGAAATTAATGGATTGAAAGCCAGATTGATACTATGAAGCAGGAAGATATAGAAATAAGTGGAAAAGACTGTTGGGAATATCTGGTGAGAGAATCTACAAGAGTGGTTCTAGGTTTTCTTTTGCCCACATTATTCACAAAAAAATGTAAATACTTATTGTAATAATAACAATAATGACAATACTTGTTGGTGGCATATTGTGTGGCTGGGAAACAAGTATGAGAAAAGTTTGGCAGTATTGAATTGTGTGTGCTAATGAAACACATTAGTTTCAACAATGGAAGATAAAATCAAACATAATAAATGCAGTTGGTAGAATGGAAATGAAATGTGTACAGAATGAATAGGTGTCCATTAGCAAAAGGGTGTAAAGAATCCTGGGTGATCATTGACCATTCATTGAAATGGTTCTTTTTAAGTGTTCTTCTAAGTGCTACTGAGTGGTTTATGTCATGACCACAAATGACTAACCATCTAAAGTACTGCTAGTGATGAAATATTTGAATATTCTTTGGCTAATTGTGTTCATTCCTAAATGTTGTCAGAAACACATGAATTTAGCAGTAGTTTGATAGTGAATTAGTGTTTTAATTCTTTCATGCTCAATTAGTATCTTTCTGAGCACCGAAGTTAACACTAATCCTCACAAAATCAGTTTGAGTTATTGTAGGCACCCACTGCTTTGCATTACTATCAGAGGTGGCTTGACAAATATCACATGGAATTTAGCCTTTAAGAAGGTGGTGGTGAGTTGCTTTCTTGAATCACTGCATTCCATGTGATAATAGCTACATCCACAGTGCCATTAGGGTGAGAATGGTAAATTAGTTCAAAGTCAGGGTAGTATGGTGCTTAACAGCATGAGAATATAGAAGGAGTAATAGTCCATTTGGCTCCCTAAGGCTGCACCTTTATTCAATACAATCCTGACTGACCTTCAGTCTCAATTCCACTTTTCTGCCTGTTCCCAATCTTTTGATTCTGTGAAAGGCCAAAAATCTATGCATCATATCCACAGATAGATTCAATAATTGAGCATCAACAATTCTCTGGGGAATTCCAAAGAATTCATCACCAACTGACTGAAGAAATTACTCAACACCTCAGTCCTAAATAATTGTCCTTTTATCCTTGTGTCCCCTTGTGTTCTCGATTCCATAGTCAGACATCTCAGTGTCTAACCTATTTTGAGGATGTTGTATATTTCAATAGAGAAAAAAAAGAGAAGTTTTTCATGTCAATTATTTTACATATGTTACCTTTTGTTACTGACCCAATTGTAAGAGGGAATGGCTTCCTGGTAGAACTCTCATATTTTCTAATTGTCAACATGGACCACAATGACTAGATCCTCCTCGCCATCATCAATATCCTTTCAAGCCAGTTACAGATGTCCATCTAAGCCAAACAGAGTGATGCCAAGGGATTCCTGGAAGCCTGATATTCCAATCCAAGCTCCATCAACAAACACAGTGAATTAGACTCTATGTACAAACCACTGAGAAACAAAACCAGAAGTAATACCAACCAACCCAGCAAATCATGGCATATAAATAATAAACGGGACAGAACACCGATGCTTCACTGGATGTGCACTGAGGATGTTACCTAGCAGGTTGATGAAACATTTGCAACCAAACCCACTGGCTCAGCAAGCAAGTCTACAACCTCACTCAACCTTGATCTTGCTTAAAACCATAACATATCTGTCTCTCTAATTATTGCTTCGTCTGGAACAATCATATTTTGATCATCTTCTTTCTCGCTTTGACTACTTGCACACTGCAATGTGCTATGGTCAGCATAATGGTTTTCTGCCTGACAGTGCTCATCTTTATCCCTGAAGGTAGAAGGTTCATTGTAAACAGTCTGATAGGATCATTTTCATCAGATTTACTTTGTCTCATCTTTCATTTCATTTACTCTGTGTACAATAGGTCATATCAATCCCATTCTAACATCTACAGTAAGTCCATCAGACTCCGACAGCTACATTGATTCTACTTCCTTTTGTCCCATTTCCTGTAAAGATTCTATTCCAATCTCCCCATTTGTCCAGTTCTACCAGACCGGTTCTGGTGATGACAGCATGCACAACAGTACTTGCAGTCAGTTTTCATTTTTCCTCAACTGAAGTTTCCTTTTCACTATATTTGATAGTGTCCTTGATTTTGTCAATTTCATTTCTCACACTTCTGTCCTCGTTACTTCCTTCAAGAAACATGATTGGATTTCCTTTCACCCCATGAAAATGGAGTCACAGGTAGATAGGATAGTGAAGAAGGCGTTTGGTAAGCTTGCCTTTACTGTTCAGTGCATTGAGTATAGGAGTTGGGAGGTCATGTTGCGGCTGTACATGATATTGATTAGGCCACTATTGGAATACTGCATGCAGTTCTGGTCTCCCTGCTATAGGAAGGATGTTGTGAAACTTGAAAGGGTTCAGAAAAGATTTACAAGGATGCTGCCAGGGTTGCAGGGCTTGAGCTATAGGGAGAGGCTGAATAGGCTGGGAAAATTTTCCCCGGAGTGTCAGAGGCTTGGGGATGACCTCATAGAGGTTTTTAAAATCACGAGGAGCATGGATAGGGTAAATAGACAAGATCTTTTCCCTGGGGTGTGGGAATCAAAATCTAGAGGCATAGGTTTAAGATGTGAGGGGAAAGATTTAGAAGGGATGTATGGGACAACTTTTTCATGCAGAGGGTGGTGTGTGTATGGAATGAGCTGCCAGAGGAAGTGGTGGAGGCAGGTATAATTACAACATTTAAAAGGTATATGGATGGGTATATGAATAGAAAGGGTTTAGAGAGATATGGGCCAACTGCTAGCAAATGGGACTAGATTTATTTAGGATATCTGGTCGGCATGGACGAGTTGGATTGAAAGGTCTGTTTCTGTGCTGTACAGCTCTATGACTCTGTTCCACACTGTCAGCCTTCATTTTAAAACAATTATGCTCCACCACTTCTACTACCTCCAGGAAGTAATGCAACCACCAAAAACGTTCTTTTCCTTTTCCTTTTATAATTTTAAAATGATTGTCGCTCCATAACATATTTTACCACGTTTTTCTCACTCAGGATCAGAATAAAGAGTAGCTTTGTGTTGGGATAAAAGGCAGAAGAAATTAAATGACAGATTATAAGGCAAAGCAAAAGGGTGTGACAGTAGGATAAGTAAAGAAAAGGAAGATGAGTCTCTAAGAAGTAGATGGTGCAGCAAAGTCATTACCAGTGCCTGTGTCCAAAGGAAAATCCCCCTGAGATCTCACCAACTCACTGTTATGTCCCAGACTCTACATTTGCTTAAAGCAGTTATATCTCTAATATTTTCCACTTCCCACTGAAAGGTTGTTAACCTGAAATGTAGCGCTGGATGAACACAGCAGGCCAAGCAGCATCATAGGAGCAGAAAGGCTGACGTTTCGGGCCTAGACCCTTCATCAGATGAAGGGTCCAGGCCCAAAACGTCAGACTTTCTGCTCCTATGATGCTGCTTGGCCTGCTGTGTTCATCCAGCTCTGCACCTTGTTCTCTCGGATTCTCCAGCATCTGCAGTTCCTACTAAACCTGAAATGTAATTCCTTTTGTCTACACTGATGTTGCCTGACCTACTGCGTATTTCCAGTATTTTCTGTTTTTGTCTATGTTTTAATAGTTAGCCTCAGAGTGATCACTTGAACAGATGTCATGAAGATTATTCCCATTTTTATATGCATCTTGTAGCTTTTCTGAGTGAATTACAAGGCTAGTGCTAAACCATTACATGTTTAGGACAACTCTATGATGTATTCTCAACAAAAATAGAGTATGGAGTTGAGAATCTACAAACTGGTTTTGTACACACGCCTTACAATACAGTAGTTTTGCTTAATAACTGTATAATCAAGCTCTCAATTTTTTTATTATTATTGAGTTTATGAAAATGTAAACAAGACCTCAATGTGACCTTTAGACATACACTTAAGAGGCAAAACATAGCAAAAATAAAATAATATGATGATAACTTTTAAATTGATTGTGAATTTACCTTCCCTTCCAGCCTTCTCCAACCAGCGATTAATTGAAGTAGTGTACTGTGATTTGAAGTACCCGCACAGTCCCTAGTAATGAAGAACAGACATGGACTGAGGAGTCTAATAGCAAACAACATTCATTATAACCAAATTTTAACTACAAAGTAAGTAGTATTTGCAATTATATTACATCTTATCATGCTGAAACGTCTCAAAACAATTTACATCACTTCTTAAAGTACAATGGCTGTTGTTACATCGAAAATATGAAGCTGTTCTTCACCAGCCACAATTCCACTCCAAAACAATTCATTCCTGCCTGTTTACACTCTTTTGCTAATGGACACCTGTTCATTCTGATCTGACAGACTAACCTCCTATTACAGAGGCAACGCCACTTGAGTCAGAAAGCAAAATGATGAGTGAAAGCAACCTGACACCAGGTGGCTTAATGCTTTAACTTTGCTTGATACATCCTGTTGGATACATTCCTTAATTATGATAATGGTACTGCAGAGTCTTGTACCACTGCCACAAAGGAACTGTCAGCAATTCCCAAATAAGAAATATCTGTAAGCATGTAACCTTTGTAGGTTTATGAGATCTCATGAATGAATGATGATAGATATAATTGAACATAACTATATAGAGAGGATGGCAAGAGCAGGTATTTTAACTGGACCCCTACAGCCCTAGGCTCCAGTTTCATGTGATAATGATGTCAGTATAATATAGTTTCTTTTGCGCATGCTCAGCTGCTATACTTTGAGTAAAAGTATGATACATTTTATATCTCCTCTGTATTCTTCTTATGGTACCCCATTTCACTAGCAACATTTACGAATGAACACTTAACTCAATAAACCAATTCCCTTAGCTAACCTGCCCCAACCATCAAAGTCTCTTCTGGTCATGGTTTCAATAACCATATTACTGGCCCTTTTTGACATTGGGTGAGCTGGACATACTTTATGTTGTACTCCTTGGAAGGGAAAGAATTTTAGCAAATTAGCGTTCCTGCCTCTGATAATGGAGGAAACATAAAGACATGCATACTAATTTCCCATTTTCATGAGTTTGTGACTGGTATACAACACAGAATAATATGCCTAGATCCATGATAAGAATTGTTTATTCCTTGTAGAACAATACAGCACAAGAAAACCTTCGGCCCAAAAAGACTGCATTGACACATGATGCCTTTCTAAACTAACTTGCTTTTGTCTGCATGCTATCTGTATCCCTCCATTCCCTTCCTATTCATAAGAGATGCTTCTTAAATGTTGCTATTGAGCTGAAACAGGATATGGGCAGGGAAGGTGAGCAGTAATAGGGGTGCAGGCAGAGGGTGAGGAGAGCTGAGTGTGCAGCTGGCAAGGCTTAGCAGTACTCAGGGTGTGGGCATGGGTGATGAGCAGAGCTGGATGTGTGGGCTTGGGGTTGGGTAAAGAGGCCAGGGCTAAGGAGAGATGGGTGAGTAGCGCTGGGTGTATAGACAGGTGTGATGACCAGAGCCTGGGGTACAGGGTTGACAGGGTGGGGACCAAGAATTAAAAACTGATGAAAAGTACATTTGAAAACACTGAAAGAAGGCAGCCATAGAAGATGTCTACATCTTGTGAAATGATAGGGGCTATGCTGTTTTTGCACTTGTGCCACGCCACTAAGGCTCTTTACTTGTCTCAAGACTTCAGCACAAAAAAGACAAGATCACAGTTCTAAACTGACTGTAAGAGCTTGATTTAAATGAGAGGAAGAAACTCAAATAAGAGATGAAGCTGAGTCAGGAAATAGTTAAAGAAACAGGATTCAATTGATGTCATGGAGGTCATCTGCACACATATGGGAAATCATACGCGCATATGTGACTCATGCTTTGGTTACACACTCATCCTATGTACATACTTGTATAGTAACGGTAATGATAATTAGTGCACTAGAGGGCGTTCCAAGACAAAAATTCCTTTTGCATTCCTTATTTCATTTCAGTTACGGGTTGTGTGGACTGTTCTTTACTTCAAATATTGAATATTACACAGTTTCTACCAACCTTGTCAGCAATTTTTCCATTCTTGCTTCTTAGCCTGTGCAGGTTTTGGTCCATTAACACACAATGCAGTCGATTAATTGGTTCTCACTCCTGCTGTCTCTATATGTTGACCTAGTGATTTCAGTCTGTTCAGGATTGAAACAGAATAAAGGGATTGTTAGAGAATCAGAGATAGAAAGTCAGAATGAAAGACTGAATCAAGCTAACCCAGGTTTCTTAAGCACATCACCTCAACTGTCCAATAAAGCCTCTTTCTTTCAAAATCAATACAACAAACATAAAGAAAGAAAAGTGAACAATTTTCAGTGAAACACGCACTTAGATTCATCAACCACTATATGTTGAAGCTGATCATTACTCAGCCAACGTCCTAGTGGAAGGGAAGATTTTCCTGGAGGAAATCTGATTACCCATCCCTCTATGTCAATAGCAGGGCTATTGAACTGTATTAACACCATTGGTCACTATATTGTCTTCTCCAACATTCACTTTTTTATTTTGACTCTTGGATCAAGGTGTATACAGCTTTAAATGGGAATAGTAAGGAATGGGAAATTTGGCAAAACACAAACACAAATTGAGTGTTGTGGTGTGAAAAGTTTCAGAGAGATTTTCTTGGCTTGAAGACAAAATTTCCACCATAGATCAGTAAGAGAGTGCCTCCAGACCACTTGAACTCATTATAGCATTGGATCCTTACGTGAAACTCTTTATCTGAATTCCATTTCTCTACATCATTCTATATTTGTTTTCTTTTGTGTCATTATGCATAAATGGGTTTTATTATGACCTATGTCATATCATGTGTTTGTAAACCGGCGCAGAATTTACAAAATCTCAAAGTAATCTCAATGGGAAAAACTACTCAGCCCAGCTTAACAATCAAGAAAACCTTCAAATGTCCCATCACAATGAATGATTCAAGATGCTTAAAAATCTGCTCCATCCCCAATTTACCCTTTATTGGTTTGAATCTGGGCCTCTGAGATCAACATATTTCTGTTAACCCATGGCATTGAGGGATATGGGGCAAAGGCAAATTTCTGAAGTCAGTTTGCAGATTGGTCTTAGTCTCACTGAATGGTAGAACAAGCTTAAAGGACTAAATGGTCCATTTCAGGAGGCAATGCTATAGTGGTATTGTCACTGAACTATTAATCCAGAAGCCCAGGTAATATTCTGGAGATCTGGCTTCAAAACCCACCGTGGCATCTGTAAAATTTGAATCTCACTAAAATCTGGAATTAAAAATCTAATGATAAACATGAAACAACGTCATGTGTCAAAACAACCTACGTCTGTTTCAATAATGTCAGTTAGGGAACCTGGTCTGGTCAGACCCACAACCATGTGGTTGAAATTGAAATAGCCTAGTGAACCTCTCTGTACTGTTAGAAAAAAAAAGAAATTCAATGGGATAGAACACGTCGCATCAGCAAAGGTACCATAAATGCCAACAGAAAATACGGCCCTGTCAACTCTGCAATGTCCTCCTTGCTAACATCTGGGGGCCAATGTCAAAATTGGGACAGCTGTATCACAGACTTGTCAAGCCAGACTCATACTCATATAATCATACTCAAGAATCATGTCTTAAACACCACATCCAAGACAAGACCATCAATCTCCCTGGATATGACCTGTCCCACTAGCAGAGATGGTGACACAGTGGCATATTGTGAGGGAGAAGTTGCCCTAAGAGTCCTCAGCATTGACTCCGGACCTCGTGAAGTCTCAATGCACCAGATCAAATGTGGGCAATAAAATATCTGCTAATTACCACGCACTGTCCTTCCTCAACTTGTGTATGTATCTACCAGAGAAGGTGCAAAACTTGACCTATTCTTGGGAAATCAGGCAGGGCAGGTGACTGAGGTGTCACTGGGGCAGCACTTTGGGACCAGTGACCATAACTCTGTTAGTTTTAAAAAGTGATAGAAAAGGATAGACCGGCTCTAAAAGTTAAAGTTCTAAATTGGAGGAAGGCCAATTTTGATGGTATTAGGCAAGAGCTTTCAAAAGTTGATTGGGGTGTATGTTTGCTAGTAAAGGGATGGCTGGAAAATGGGGAGCCTTCAAAAATGAGATAACGAGAATCCAGAGACAGTATGTTCCTGTTAGGGTGAAGGGCAAGGCTGGTAGGTGTAGGGAATGCTGGATGACTAAGGAAATTAAGGTTTTGGTCAAGAAAAAGAAGGAATGTCAGGTATACACAACGGAGGTCGAGTGAATCCCAAGAAGAGTATAAAGGCAGTAGGGGTATACTTAAGAGGTAAATCAGGAGGGCAAAAAGGGGTCATGAGATAGCTTTGGCAAATAGGATTAAGTAGAATCCAAAGGGATTCTACAAATACATTAAGGACAAAGGTAACTAGGGAGAGGAATAGGGCCCTTTAAAAATCAGCTAGGCTACCCATGTGTGGAACCACAGAGGACTAGGGGAGATACTAAACGAGTATTTTGCATCAGTGTTTACTGTGGAGAAGGATATGCGAGATATAGAACGTGGGGGAATAAACAGCGACATCTTGAAAAATGTCCATATTATAGAGGAGGAGGTACTGGACAGCTTAAAACGCATAAAGGCAGATAAATCCATGAGACCTGATCAGGTGTATCCTAGAACTCTATGGGAAGCTATGGAACTGATTGCTGGGCCCCTCGCTGAGATATTTGTATCATCGATAACCACAGGTGAGTTGCTGGAAGCCTGGCGATTGGCTGACATAGTGTCACTATTTAAGAAAAGTGGTAAGGAAAAGCCAGGGAACTATAGACATCAGGGAGCCTGACATTGGTGGTGGGCAAGTTGATGGAGGGAACCCTGAGGGACAGGACTTGCATGTATTTAGAAAGGCAAGGACAGATTAGGGATAGTCAATATGGTTTTGTGAGTGGGAAATCATGTCTCACTAACTTAATTGAGTTTTTTGTAGAGGTAATGAGGAGGATTGATGAGTGCAGAGCAGTGCATCTGATCTATATGGACTTCAGTAAGGCGTTTGACAAGGTTCCTCATGGTAGACTAGTCGGCGAGGTTAGATCACATGGAATAGAGGGAGAACTAGCTATTTGGATACAGAACTGACTTGAAGGTAGAAGATAGAGGGTGGTGGTGGAGGATTGCTTTTCAGGCTGGAGGCCTGTGACCAGCGATGTGCCACAAGGGATCGGTGCTGGGTCCACTGCTTTTCATCATTTATATAAATGATTTGGATGTGAACATAGGAGGTATGGATTTGTATGTTTGCAGATGACACCAAAATTACAGATGTAGTGGACAGCAAAGGTTATCTCAGAATATGATGGGATCTTGATCAGACGGGCTAATGGACCAAAGAGAGGCAGCTGGAGTTTAATGTAGATAAATGTGAGGTGCTGCATTTTGGAAAGGCAAATCAGGGCAGGACTTATACACTTAATGGTAAGGTCCTGGGGAGTGTTGCTGAACAAAGAGACCTTGGAGTGCAGGTTCATAGTTTCTTATAAGTGGAGTTGCAAGTAGATAGGATAGTGAAGAAGGCGTTTGGTTTGCTTGCCTTTATTGGTCAGTGCATTGAGTAAAGAAGTTGGGAGGTTGTGTTGTGGCATTCCACGACATAGGTTAGGCCACTTTTGGAATACTGTGTGCAATTGTGGTCTCCCTAAAATAGGAAGGATGTTGTGAAACTTGAAAGGGTTCAGAAAATATTTACAAGGATGTTGCCAGGATTGGGGGGCTTGGGAGAGGCTGAATAGGCTGCGGCTATTTTCCCTGAAGCATTGGAGGCTGAGGGATGACCTTACAGAGATTTATAAAATCATGAGGGGCATGGATAGGGTAAATAGACAAGGTCTTTTCCCTGGGGTGTGGGAGTCAAAAACTAGAGGCATAGGTCTAAGGTGAGAGGGAAAAGATTTAAAAGGGACCTATGGGGCAATGTTTTCACACAGAGGGTGGTGCGTGTATGGAATGAGCTGCCAGAGGAAGTGGTGGAGCTGGTACAATTACAACATTTAAAAGGCATATGGATGGCTATATGATAAGGAAGTGTTTGGACGGATATGGGCCAAATGCTGTCAAATGGGACTAGATTTATTTAGGATACCTGGTCGGCATGGATGAGTTGTACCGAAGGGTCACTTTCCACTCTGGGCATCTCTATGACTCTATAACTGATGATTCAATGCTCTCCCGTATTGAGCAACACTTGGAAGAAGCATTAAGAGTGGCAAGGGCACAGAAGGTACTCTGGGTGGGGGATTTCAACGTCCACCCTAGCAGCAGCACTACCAGTCGAGCTGGTCCAAAGGACATGGTCTATGGTAGGTGGTGAGAGAACCAACAAGAAGGAAAGCATACCTGATCTCATCCTTACCAATCTGCTGGCTGAAGGCACATCGGTCCACCATAATATTGGTAAAAATTACCACCGCACAGTCCTTGAGCAGACGAAGTACTGGCTTCACAGTCAGATTACCCTCCATCATGTTGTATGGCACTATCACCATGCTCAATGTTATAGCAGTTCAAGATTGGGCTTCTATGAGACGCTGTGGAGAACCAACAGTCGCAGAATTGTCCTCCATATAATCTTTATCCTCATGGCATGGCGTATCCCCCATTCTACCACGACCATCAAGCCAAAGGATCAACCCTGATTCAATGGAGAGTGCTTGAGGGCATGCCAGGAGCAGCACCAAGCATACCTAAAATTGAGATGTCAACCTGTGAAGCTACAAAACAGGATTTACTTGCCCAGACAGCATAAGCTGCAAGTGATGGACCTAAGCAATTCAATAGCCAACACAGCAGATCTAAGTTCTGCAGTCCTGCCACTTGCAGTCATGAATAAAGGTAGACAATTAAACTCACTGAAAGAGAAGACTTCACAAACATCCCCATCCTTATTAATAGAAAAGCATAGAACATCAGTGCACCATATAAAGATAAGATTTGTAACAATCTTCAGCCAGAAGTGTCAAGTGGCTGATCTACCTCGGCCTCCTCCAGGGGTCCCCAGCATCACAGGTACCAGTCTTCACAAATTCAGTTCGCTCCATGTGATATCAAGAAATGGTTAAAAGCACTGGATACCGCAAAGATTATAGGCCCTGACAACATTCAGCATAGTACTGAAAACTGTTGGTCCAGAACTTGCTCCAACCCTAGCCAAGTCGTTCCACTATAAGACTGGCCGAAGAATGGGGAAAATTGAGCAGGAAACCCCTAAACACAAAAGCAAGACAAATCCAACCCAGCCAATCCCTATCAGTCAAAATACTGGAACTCCCTCTCTAACAGCGCTGTGGGTCTACCTACAGCACATGGACTGGTCTAATTTTCAGGTCAGAGGTGTATTGGGAGCGGTTGCTGCTGTTAGGCCCAGGGAATGTGGAATGGGGTTGGTGAGCATTTCGGGTCCAGTCTGACAGGTGTGGGGTGTGGGGGTTCCAGTTTAATATTTA